TATCTCGCCTTGTTCACAAATAACATACATACGCGCAGGCTATAACGAACCCGGCTTTACACACGTATTAAGTTTCCGACGACAAATGTATGTAAATCCAGACGACATTGCTAAAATTCCCCCATCGATCTGCATAAACTTCGAAGGAACGAATTACTTCATTTACCTATCAGCCGAAAAACTAACATGCTTTCTTTGCAAAGAAGAAGGACATCTCGCAAAGCACTGTAAAAATACTGAATCAACAACTCAAATTTCTCCAGAAATAAACACTCAAGACATACCAGAAAATAATACGCTAGCCTCATCAGACATTCTTTCGCAGACACACGAAGCAAACACGCTTACACCTGAGCAATCCGCACAACAACAACAGTCAATTACTCCGAACTCTCATCAAGAAAATATTCTGGATATTAAAATGAATGAAATGAAACCTCCGCCTTCAATTCTTAAACGTCCGCTTCACTCGAATTCCATTACTTCGATAAGCACTGATAGCAACTTAAATAACTCAACCCAGGGTGTAAAAACAAGTAGAAAAATAGTAAAAAAAATCAGAACCAGCGAAAAAGTAAGAGCCGATCCGCAAGAGGTTGAAAGTCAAGTAAATCCGGCTAAAGAATTCATCAACAGTAAACAAACGGAATTTCCCATCAACTATGAAGAGCTCAAACAATTTTTAGTCGAATCTTTTGGAAAATCGAATATTCCCGAAATTGCGTCTAAATATACCGATAACATGATCGCTTTCACACAAATGCTTTTGGAAGTCAAAGAGAAAATTACTGATACCAACTTAAATAGCCGAATCGACAGAATTATGAAGCGTATAAATTCAAGTCACAGTGATACCGACAGCGATAACTAAATTTTCTCAATTTTCTTTTTGAAATGAATTCACAAAAAAAGTCTGAAAGTCGGAATTTACGAATCGTCTATTGGAACATGCGAAGTTTCCAGAAACAGCGTCAAGAAATTGAATCTATACTCACAGACTTGGACATATTTATTGGTGTTGAAACCTGGTTATCTCCCAACATCAGTGTACAATTTCCTGGCTTCATCACCTTCAGGCAAGACAGAACTCACTCAAGTGGAGGCGGGATTATATTCCTTATACGTAAAAACTTAGCATTTATAGAACTAGAAAACCTTATTTCTCCGTGTTAATCTGTTGAGTTATGTGGCGTACACATTAACAATATAAATCCTTCTCTCGATATAATTGCATGCTATCGAACTCCCGGTTTCATACTAAGCCAAGATCAATGGAATTCTATTACCACCAATATCCGACCAAATAGCCATTGTTTATTCTTGGGCGACTTCAATGTTCACAATAAAAATTGGAATTGCCGAAAGACTGACACAAATGGTATTAGATTCGAGAACGCCGTATTAAACAATTCCAATCTCTTTTTACATAATGCCGACTCTAATAGTCATTGGGACTCCCACAGGAACCTTTATTCAAATATTGATCTCATCTTCTCTACTGTCAATCTAAGTGACAAAACAAGTGTCTTGGCTCACGATGAAAACTGGGGGTCAGACCATTATCCCTTCTTTATAACTATTAATATAGATAAAAACACCTATGTTAAAAAGTCATTTAAAATCAAAAATGTCCGCACAGACTGGAATTGTGTTTATAAAAATCTTGAAAGCAAATACGAGCAATTTTTACTCGATCATTACGAATCACTTTCACCCCCTGGTAAATACGACTTTTTTACACACATTGTTATGGAATCCGTAAAGCTTGCCACGCCCACATTGAATAGTTCTGCAAAAAATGTAAAGATAACTAACCCTGTTCCTTGGTGGGACAATGAATGCGATAAAGTCAAAAGATTGCGCCGTGCATCATACAAAAAGTGGAGGATGTATCCGGAACTAGACAATCTCATTTTGTATAGAAAACACGCGGCTCTCGCTAGACGTACGTTCAAAAAGAAAAAAAAGGAATGTTTCAGGAATTTTGCCGAGACTATAAATTTCCACACTAGCCAAAATTATGTTTGGAATAAAAGCAAAGTTTTAAAAAATAAGTGGGTGAAAATTTCCAATAATAGTTCAAACCAAAACCTTCAATTCACTGAATGCATCCAAAAAATCTTGGACAAAATATGTTCTCCATATCGCCCAATCAACCCAAGCTTCATTCCAAAATGTAATGATAACGAATTTTTAGATGCTTACTTTGATTTTATGGAGCTAAATATTGCACTCGATGACAAAAATACGAAATCCTCTTGTGGCATGGATGGGCTAGATTTTGAAATTCTCCAGAAACTTCCAGTCAAATTTAAACTCCTTCTTGTCGACATCTTCAATCAAATGTATCAGTTTAATGACTTCCCCGCCTCATGGAAAGACTCCTTTATTCATTTCATACCCAAGAGCAATGACAAAAACGCCCTATATCGTTAACTTCTTGCGTATGCAAGCTTTTCGAAACAATGGTAAAAAATAGACTCCAATGGTGGGCTGAGCAAAATAATCTTCTTCCTGTTAGTCAACACGGCTTTCGTAAAGGACATTCGTGCTCGGACAACCTGTCAAATCTAACCCTCAAAGTCGAAGAAGCTTTCGTAGAGAAAAAAGAAGTTTTAGCCGCCTTCTTAGATGTACGCGGTGCTTTCGATAATGTCAAAATTGATATTTTACTTAATAAATTAGCATCAATCGGCTGCCCAGAGAAACTCCTAATATTTATTAAATTTATCACTTACGAAAGGCTAATATATTCAGATTCATGCCCCAACAACCCCAGACTTGCCACTAAAGGTGTTCCTCAAGGCGGAGTCTTAAGTCCGCTACTTTACATTCTTTATGTTAGTAGTATAACAGAAAACTTGCAAAAAAGCGTTGAAGTGTCACAATTCGCAGACGACATCGCGATCTACATCAAATTCACCTCGCTAAAAAGAGCCAAAAGCATAATTCAAAAAGCAATCCAAATTATTGAAAATAATCTCAAAAAGCTAGGACTAGAGCTTGCGCCAGAAAAAACTGATCTTATTCATTTCAACAACAACAAAATTCTTCCTGGAGAAACAGTAATTGAAGTTGGTCCTAACACCATAAAATCAAGTAAATCAGTTCGCTTCTTAGGAATTATTTTCGATTACAAGCTTTCATTTTTCCGACAAATTGATTCAGTTCACAAACGATGTTCCAAAGCACTCAACATTATTAAGTTCCTCTGTGGAACTTGGTGGGGAGCCGATCCCACCACGCTCCTCACCTTCTATAAAAGTTTTGCACGGTCTATAATCGACTTCGGATCCTTCATTTATTTTCCTTCTCGTAAAAGCGCTGTTGATAAACTCGAAAAACTTCAGTTTAGTGCATTGAGAAAAGCTCTCGGTCTTCGCGTGAGTACTCCAAAAAATATACTAATAGCTGAGTCTAAGATATCTCTTGAACACCGAGCATTTTACCTTTCCAACTGCTTCTTGGCTAAAACATTTTCTTGTCATGATTCACAGACCTTTAAATCAGTGAAACGCTTTTATTATATAAATAAAAAACACTCCAAAAAACCCAAAAAAATCATCAGTCAAAGTATTATCAACTCAATGGAACTAATTGGCAAAATAATTAATAAAGGAAAGACCCACTTGTATTGTCACAACTTTCGTGATCAAATTATTAACATCTCTGTGAATACTGAATTTGGCGAAAAACTGAAACATTCCTCCGACCCAAATAAACAAGTAGCTGATTTTATACGAGAAAATAGCGCCCTAGCGCTGTACACAGATGGCAGTAAAACCTCTCACGGCGTAGGAACCGCATGCGTTGCACTGGAAAATCATTTCGAAGTGAAAAGAAGAATTAACTCTCTATCATCGGTGTATACTGCCGAGTGTATAGCGTTGAGCGATTCGCTTGATGTAACCACAAATAGCGAGCATAGTAACATTTTCATTTTTTCTGATTCGCTCAGTGCTCTCACTTCTCTCGCGTCAAAAAAACTCAGTGTAAAAACTAATCCGTACATTCTCGAAATAAAAACTAAGCTAACGAATCTCTATCTAACTCAACCTCACAAGTCTATAAACTTTTTCTGGATTCCGTCACACCGAGGCATTGAAGGTAATGAAATTGCCGACAGCGTAGCAAAAGCGGCCACTGAATGCGAACTTACTGATGCAGGAGAAGTTCCTTTTACAGACTGTTTTGAAAGCTTCAAATTAACTTGCAAAAATCAAACTAAAGAAGTAATAATAAACCAAGCAAGCTCGACTGGCAAAAATTTTTTTAAAAACTTCTACAAGGAAGCGAAATCCCCTTGGTTCAGTAAATTCAAGCTAAAAAGGGAACTCATCGTCACAGTCAATCGCATCAGAAGTGACCATTACAGTTTAGCAGCATCACTTTACAAAATAAAGGTTGTAGATAGCCCATTATGTAAATGTAATCAAAATCCGGAAGACATCAGTCACATTCTCTGGCAATGTAATTTATACAACTCCCAAAGATTGTCCCTTCTGGCTAATCTCAAAAAGTTGCAGTATCAACTACCCTTAAATATAGAGTCCATTGTCGCGAACTCTGATGTCAATGCGTGCGAACATATACTTTCCTTTTTAAAAAAATGTAATATTAACATTTAAAACCAGCAAAATGTAAAATCCCGCAAGATTTATGTATAAATCATAACAAAGTTTGTATACATCATAACGAACCCTGTACATACTATGCGAAAATAATGTAAAATGTTCTGTATATAACACTTAAAAAAAAAAAAAAAAAAAAAAAAAAAAAAAAAAAAAAAAAAAAAAAGCCTACAGTATGATCAATTCAAAAGATTCTGTTTTCTTCGATACTTGAATTTAAAAGCACGAATTCACCAAATTGTAATATAGATAATTTAATTGGCGTATTTTAAAAAATGTATTTTATTTTTTTGTAAACTAGTCACATTATACAATATGTTTCTTTGTTTGATACTGCTGCATCATTTTTATAAGCAATAGTTATTTTAAGAATTTTTCGGCTTTATCTAGTTGATTTAAATACGGTGAAGTAGGACATGGAAGCTTTCATTACCTTTATAAAACAAAAAATATATATAATATATTCAGTTGATTCAATTACAGGTTAAATAATACTTACAGATGTAAAGTTTTCTAATGTCAGTGAAAAAAGCTTAGTTTGTAAATTGTTTGACTTCGAACTTCTCATTATCATAAACTTAACAATGTACTTAACTTTTTTAGATCCCAAGTGCCAATCAGAAGTACAACTGAAATTAATCGACAATTAATTATTATATTTATAAAATTAAATATATTCATATCAAATTGTACATATTGAACTTACACGTTATTAAAAAATATTTCACTTTCATTCAATAGTTTCTGCCCCAGGAAATTATAGCAAAACATATGAAATATCTGTGCTATAGTAAATACCGCAAATCTGTAGCAGTCCTTGAAACTGTCCTCTAATTTTATTAGTGTCTATAGAGTAGTGAAATTTAGTTATTAATTCAAATTATTTAAATGATAGTGAAGGAAAATATACATTCAGGTGGATAAGAAAGTCTAGATATTTAGTGAAGTATCACAAAGACATATACTTACGGATATGAATGATTTTCAGTGCAATTAAGGGTTATTCAGTGCAATATATTAAAGATAGATAAATCCTCTTGGAAAAAATAATCGGATCACTAAGCATTAAAGTATAGACTTGGAGTAGATTGAGAAAAGGGATATATAACCACTTTTCTCTAAGTCTTTGATGGTAAATATGAAATGAAATAAAAGAAAGGTAGAAAAAATATAATGGTGAAGTTAATAAAGTCAGTCTCTCTTTTCAAGTAGTGCGAAAAGCACTTCACTGTTTAGATCGAAATGTAAAGATGGACTAGAAAAAGTAAACTATATCTTTAACTATAACAAGTTTATAACAGTCTTATGAAATACAACTGTGTAATAGAAGTAGATATATAATTCTAATTAGGCTATGGAAATATCTCACTCAATTTGCAACGTGACTTAAAATAAAAGGACATCCAATCTCACTTCAAAACGAATAAGCCAAGCTGGTCGAGAGCCCATTGTGTTTAATTAAAATGATTTTTCAATATATTTTTTTTTTGGCTTCAATATATTTTTGTGTTGGCCTTATGGCCTTACGTTTCGACAAGAGTTTCAACTGTTGTCTGTTTACGTTGCAGTATTGTCGCGCGTCATAAACTTATACTCATGCAAACTAGATAATACGAAAAACTGATCACCAATTTAATTTTACAATTATAAAATAAATAATTTAAGTCAAACTAATAAGTAACGAATAAGGTAAATAAGTAAAATAATAAGATAACAAAAATTCCAACTATAATGATTCAATTATATGATGTAGCTGATTCATTAATAACTCAAAAACGATTTTCAGATTGATATAAAATCATACTTAAATGTACCTTTTTATTGCAACTAAAACTTACCACAAATCCTGTTATACTCATCAGTATTACAGATACTATTAGAACAAAGAAAAATGATGTACTGTAGATTTTATTTACATCGTCGCAAAATCTGTAAGTTAAATAATTATAGTATTTCATTATTTATTTACTTTATGACACATTAAAAGCCAATCAATTTAATAAAATATAATAATGATTATAATAATCATTATATTTACTCAATGATACTTTGATGTTGTAGTGTGCAATCGATAACTTGCTTGTATGTTTGATCATCTAAATTTTCTTTTATTGGCTTTATTTTTAAAATACTTCTGACCCGATATCTAAAATGAATTTATGCAATTACGATCAGTATTTAATTCATTCATGTTACGACTGTAGCTTTGACATTAATGAAAAGTGTGTTAAAAGTGCGTGACTTAGTGCACCAAATCCTAATTTGAAATGAATGTGCCAAAATTAAAGAACGCACAATAAAATTACAAGTAGGGTTATTTTATTGAATTATAGTTAGATTTAATAAAGAATTATTGTATATTAGTTAGAAAAAACGTATACTATACCCGTTGTAAGCAACGAGTTTGTTATATTTATTGCTGTTTCCTCATTAATTTTATGAATTTTTTCTTTAATACAACGAAAAATCATCAAAATAATAAATATATTTTCGTATCCTTTTATCAATTCAAAATATTATTGCGTTATAAAATAAATATGAGATTTTCGAAAAATGTTCTAAGTATTAAATATATAATTTCTTCTAATATAATTGTATTCATAAAATAATAACCCAAGGATTGCAAGCATTCCAGAAGCATGATGAACACAGTTACATAAAAAAATATCGTTTGCGAAAAGAGGCAGAATGCCAAATAGCGACGTTACGTAACCATGGAATAAAATGGAATAATAATATTTATGCTGATCAACGAAAAATTCGACAATATATAGAGCAGATTTTGGTCTTGATTCATTTAACGGTTTTACTAAATCCAAAATTACTGGCGTGAGTGGAGTACCCATGAACGATAGTAAAACAAAATAAACTATGCCTGAAAGATACATATTATTAAGTGCAAGAAAAGCTATATAGTTAAATAGAGTAACTCCTACCTACCAATATAACAAATAATTAATACCTTTCCTGAATCATAGAAGCCTCTTATAATTTTAATTTGCTCATTATTCTGCAATTGATTCCAGTCCCGTTTGATTTTTTCCAGTACTAATTTGATCTGTATTAATAAAAATATTAAAAACTATGATATGCATACATAACGTTAAATAATCTTAAGAGAAACTAAAATTTTTAATTGAAATGTATATGACGTGTAATTGTACGATTAATTACTTCAACTATTGATTTTCTTTACATATATCTTACTTTATGTTGGTTCACTACGCCGTTATAAAATTTTATAGCCATAATTATGTTATAGAATATATTTGGCAAACATTCCATTATGAGATCAAAGTTTTTTCTATATTCGTATGCTTTTATAACCTGAAAAGTATCGTGGGTGGACTATTATTTTAAATGTTGAAATTAAAATGAACTAAACAACAATAATAATGAATAAATTATTATCAATCATTTTAGCATCGTGCAACATAGTAGTGTGTCAGCTTTTATTTCATATAGCACAATCAACACAGATTTAGATATGTATAAGATTTGTATTGCGTTGAAAAAGTCAAGATCGGAAAATTTATTCATATTGCTAGTCAATAATATAGATAGAAATATATATCACTGTCACTGCAGTCACTATTTTTGACATTTTCTTGCAATGCATTAGTATCGTGCTTCATTCAGAAATTCTGGTGAATTTTAAATTGATTATTTTTAGCCAACTGTTCCGAAATAATAAACATTCTAAAATAGTTCAAGTATACAAGTCACGCAAAGAAACTGAAAAGACTAATTTTATGTTTTACATTTCATAAAAAAATAACGAGTTATTATAAAATAAATGTATAATACTATAAAAGAAAACTACGTAGCACAATGAAAAAGTATTTTCTTTTTTTAAATAACCAGTAAAATGATTGAATACCTCAGGGATGATTATGCTAGTATGCTGTATTATCCAAAAATGATGGAGAAATGTTGATATTACCCAGGATTGGTAAGGCCATTGCCCAAGAATGCTTAAAAATATTTTACTAAACATGTAATACTTGTCCATTCTGTATACTGTAATGTAATCTTTTATTTATCAATGTATAAAAACACCTGTAAACAAATTAATATTGAATATGTTCCGTATAAAACAGATGTGTATCACTATAAAAACTACACTACACCATATACTATCATCAGACTTTTAGCTGCGCTCAAACATCATACACCGTTCGCTTCGCTTGCATAAAACTGAATTCATACAACAGACGGTCGTATGTACAAAATAAAATCTATATAAAAATCTAAATTTTTTACACGACCCACATTCAATTATACATTAAAGTATGCAATTTTATGTTATCAAGTATATTTTCGTATGCGTATAACTTTACAAGAGACTTGTAAGATAATATACTGCAATTTAGTGACTGAATTTACATAAATGGAAGCATTAATGTGATGTTCTGTTAAAAAATACTTTTCTCCTTGTATAACTCTGTGAGAGACGTATAAGATAATATTCTACAATTTGTTACTGTATTTGCATAATTCGTTTCATTAATGAGTTATTCTTCGTTCCGTCCACTACAACGTTTTTAGTATTATTCAAGTCGCTTAAAAAATATACATTGTTAGGATTGCCTTTTATATTTGTATTTATTCAATCTCAAAAGTTTCGGTAAACCGATTAGTATTATTTACCAATCACATTAATGTCATTAATACAGAAAAATACTAGAAACGCCTTTATATTTGTCTTTGAAATAATATATTGTTATGTGTACTTATAACAATAAATAGTTACGTTTGTTGAGTGTCGTGAATGATTAATGAAAAATAGCGTAAAAAGCATTATATATTGGGAAATCCTCGGAATCATTAATTTTTTTTCAAAGTGTAATTAATTTTTGTATTTTGAAGCACATTATAGTTAAACTTATTTAGACATGATTCTAGATGATTAAAAGTGAAAAATATAACCGCGTTACTAATTTATATGAAAGTATCATTGCGTTATTATAAAAAATCGATAAATTAACTATTCGTCGAAAAAAAAAATTTCTCTGAAAAATTTTGTGATTGTATACTAACACTGTTTTAGAGTTCTCAGATCGCGCGACTGTATATTAACATTCCTCGAATCAATCGGATCAATATGTAAACAAAACTCTTAAGTTTTCTAGTCAGCAGTATACATTCTATCGAAAAAATTTCACAATATATTGATACATCGTATAAATTTGTTTGATAATATTATAAATTTTCAACTTTTACCAACATAATTTGTAAAATCATCATTTTTTCTGCTTTAATTTCTATTTTTCTCATTCATATACGATTCAATATCGCGTTTATATCAATGAGTTTCGAAAAGTTTTATGATTCAATATTTTTTCCAATACGTCATATAATGTTGATAAATTTGATCAACAAACAAAACCTTATAACTTTCATAGAACTGAAAATGTGATGTGATGCTTTTAGTAGTAACTTCTACAATGAATATACACGGATTACGCGATGTTTTGACGTGTAAGATAAAAAATCGGAGCTGTGCCGATGAAAAAAATACTATTTTGAAAAAAAGTTACGCGGATATATCTTCGAATATTTTATCTTCTAGCTTTATGATTTTTGATGGTACATAACTTTTGAAGGCACATTTCTGTTTTGTTTTTCAGAAAGCTACAACGCCATGAAATTGAAGTTATAAATTTTAAAGGCATCAAAAAGTTATGGACGAAAATGTAAAAATAAATTAATTATCCAAAACAGAGTGACGCTCATTAAAGTGTGGATCACGGTAAGACGTTGAATGGCACACTAATACCAATGTGATTACTTGAAAATCCTTAATGAGAGGAATATTTCCTGAAGTTTTCAAATCGATTCATAATGGCATTAAAAAAATATAGACAAAAGTCTAAAAAAAAATCAATGGTAACGCTTGAACACGATGCGAATTCTCTATAATTTTATTTTATTTTATTTTCTGTCAGACACGGCAGATAATTTTTCAAACGTGAATTATCATTGATTCGACTAGAATAACATCAAAACTAAAGAGTTACATACTTTATATTCACTTGAAAATATTTTTTCTGAGATAAAAAATCGAGTGACAGAGAAATTAACGGTTCCGTGGATTTTCCCATATATGTTCATGTGATATATTCTAATATGAGTACACTGTCAATGCAAGTAGAGGTATTGATCTCATTTAAAATAGAAAATTTGATTACAAATCACTGCTATAATCATACATTTGACATACACATTTATATTCTTTCTTTATTTATTAGTTATTAGTTACTCGTGTCTTAGAGCGATTTTGCATGTTTAACTATTGTATGTATTGATTTTTTTAGATTCATTTAGGGAAGATGCGGGTCTCAACCTAGGTCGATTAACATCTGACCTAGCAGCATAGCTATGCCGTCCGGGGAGCGGTCCAGCTCCTGGATCCGCGGAGAGCGTCGTGCGGTTGTACCTCGCTGCTGAAGACGCGAAAGGAAGAATAACAAAATGTGCGGTCGCCGAGCGAAAGGGTGCGAGCCGGTATTTAAAACGCAAACAAACAACGCGTGCGCGCCGTAATTCGCCTGTTATACAGCATACTAAAAATAAGGCAACGCCTTGTTACTAGCCAGCTATGCAGAGACCGATTACAGCTCGTCGCTGCCAACAGATCAGCGATCACCACTTACGGCCGCCGCATGCTCACGGTCGCCCTGGGCCTCCAGCGCGAATTTCGATGGACCTCCGTCATCACCGATGTTCCCACGCCGATTTTAAGTGCCGACTTTTTGGACAGTACGGGCCTCTTGGTGGACGTGCACCGTCGACGTCTCGTCGACCCTTCCACCTCCAAGGAGTTGGTTACCCAGCTGCGTAAGGTCCTTATCCACGGCGTTGTCGCCGTAGGTAACTCCACCAATTTGCGGTACCCCCCGCGCGGCTTACGACAAGCTGCTCGCAGAGTTCACGGATCTAGCTGAACCCTCGGAGAAGGGAGCCTCCCTTCAAGACACACTGGTCACGCACCGCATCGTCACAACAGGTGCACCGGTGTTCGAGCGACCGCGTCGCCTGTCGGGTGAACGACCGATTCAGCAGCGAAGGACACCGTCGACCGATTACTGAGGCAGCGAAATATATGCCCTTATTCGAGTCCCTGGGCGAGTCCTCTACACCTAGTGGCGAAAACTGCAGGAGGGTATAGGGCCACAGGCGACTTCCATTGGCTCAACTCCATCACGCTCCCCGATCGCTACCCGCTGCCCGTCATCGAGGATCTGCTTGAGGATTGCAGCGGCTGTACGGTATTTTCCGTGATCGATCTCCAGGAAGCTTACTTTCAGCTTCCCATGGCTGACGAGGACACACCGAAGACGGCGGTGACTACGCCGTTCAGCCTATTTGAATTCCTCCGCATGCCGCTCGAACTTCGCAACGTCTCGCAAACATTTCACGCTACTTAGACGACCTTTTCATTCGCTCGTCTTCGCACGAGGAACACCTCCGTCATCTGCGCATCCTCTTCAATCGGCTGCGAGAGGCCGGCCTGTCATACAGATTGGCAAAGTGCTAGTTAGGCCAGCCCAGTGTCACAATTTTTGACTACAAAGTCTTCTCGCGTGGCATCAAACCTCCAGAGCGCAGGTGACGGCCATTCGAGGCCAACCTCGGCGAAGAGATTACGACGGTTCGTGGGCGTCTTAAACTTCTATAGACGAAGCCTACCGCATGCTGCGCACGTTCAGGCTCCGCTTAAGGAGCTTCTCCGCGGACTACCTAAGAATAGCCGTCGCTCGCTAACCTTGAACGACAGGGCCGAACAGGCCTTTGAGGAGGCTCGACGTAGTCTTGCTGACGTAGTGGAAACAACCTTTTTGTCACCGACTGTGCCTCTCCAACTGGCTACGGACGCATCCAGCTCGGCGCTCGGAGCTGTGCTACAACAATTCGTCGAGGGTCAGTGGCAGCCGCCTATCGGCTTCTTTTCCCAGACACAATTGCCGACAGAGACTCGGTACAGTACAGTAGGTAAACTAGAAAGGCCATAGCTCAGAGGGGTATCGGCTCACTGAGTTGAGATGTGATTTCTGTGAGGCTCCCTTCTTTGAGCTGATGCCCGTGCATCTTCAGCTCAGCACTGTCAACTCACCTCATCTCCCTCCTACTAAGCTGAGATGCCCGTGTATTGTCGACTCACCCCCCCCCCCCCTCGACTAAGATACCCGTGCGTTCTATGCACTCCCCCTCCCCTACTGTACTGATGTGCTCTGATGCCCGTGCGTACTACGCACTCCCCCTCCCCATCCCGTACTATGTTGATGTGCTCCGACCCCCGTTCGTTCTATGCACTTCCCCCTCCCCATCCCGTACTGTGTTGATATGCTCCGACGCCCGTTCGTTCTATGCACTTCCCCCTCCCCTACTAATCTAATAAACTCTTGATGCTCGTGCGTTCTGTGTTACGCGCTTTGATTTTATTGTATGTGTGTGTGTGTGTGTGTTAAAGGACCCCGCACTATCCTTATGGGAAATGGCTTTCGGTCAAAATTTTTGAAACTCAGCTATTTGGCAGATCTTGGCGCATAGATCAAAAGTGTCCATGGGCTCAAAGCTCAAAAGTTAATGGTTCAGGATGTACAGGTCCCCGAAGTTAAACTTTGCAGGATATTTTATACACAGTAAGAAATAGGTGACTCGGGTTTTTAAACTGTATATATTTACGTACGTGCATATACTTATACATGCTTCAGTGTACTCAGTGTCAGTATATATATATTTTTTTTTTGATTAGCCAATGGAATGGATTAATCATTGCTCGATGTGCAGCATCCAGAGTGGTTTCAAGAAGTGATTCATCAGGGTATCTGATATTAGGCTGTTGTCGTGCAAATCCAAGATACCATAAAACACTAGCAACATGCGCACATGAACCTAGAGTACGTGCACCACTTTGGCAGGTACAATAGTAACCT